GCACTGGTGTGGGTCACATCCTGGGTGTTAGTGGACTGGTGTGGGTCACATCCTGGGTGTTAGTGGACTGGTGTGGGTGGCATCCTGGGTGTTAGTGGAATGGTGTGGGTCACATCCTGGGTGTTAGTGCACTGGTGTGGGTCACATCCTGGGTGTTAGTGGACTGGTGTGGGTCACATCCTGGGTGTTAGTGGACTGGTGTGGGTCACATCCTGGGTGTTAGTGGACTGGTGTGGGTCACATCCTGGGTGTTAGTGGACTGGTGTGGGTGGCATCCTGGGTGTTAGTGGAATGGTGTGGGTGGCATCCTGGGTGTTAGTGGACTGGTGTGGGTCACATCCTGGGTGTTAGTGGACTGGTGTGGGTCACATCCTGGTTGTTAGTGGACTGGTGTGGGTCACATCCTGGGTGTTAGTGGAATGGTGTGGGTCACATCCTGGGTGTTAGTGGACTGGTGTGGGTGGCATCCTGGGTGTTAGTGGGCTGGTGTGGGTCACATCCTGGGTGTTAGTGGACTGGTGTGTGGTCGCATCCTGGGTGTTAGTGGACTGGTGTGGGTGGCATCCTGGGTGTTAGTGGACTGGTGTGGGTCACATCCCGGGTGTTAGTGGACTGGTGTGGTCGCATCCTGGGTGTTAGTGGACTGGTGTGGGTGGCATCCTGGGTGTTAGTGGACTGGTGAGGGTCACATCCTGGGTGTTAGTGGACTGGTGTGGGTGGCATCCTGGGTGTTAGTGGACTGGTGTGGGTGGCATCCTGGGTGTTAGTGGAATGGTGTGGGTCACATCCTGGGTGTTAGTGGACTGGTGTGGGTCACATCCTGGGTGTTAGTGGACTGGTGTGGGTCACATCCTGGGTGTTAGTGGACTGGTGTGGGTGGCATCCTGGGTGTTAGTGGAATGGTGTGGGTGGCATCCTGGGTGTTAGTGGACTGGTGTGGGTCACATCCTGGGTGTTAGTGGACTGGTGTGGGTCACATCCTGGTTGTTAGTGGACTGGTGTGGGTCACATCCTGGGTGTTAGTGGACTGGTGTGGGTCACATCCTGGGTGTTAGTGGACTGGTGTGGTTCACATCCTGGGTGTTAGTGGACTGGTGTGGGTCGCATCCTGGGTGTTAGTGGACTGGTGTGGGTCACATCCTGGGTGTTAGTGGACTGGTGTGGGTCGCATCCTGGGTGTTAGTGGACTGGTGTGGGTCGCATCTTGCATGTTAGTGGAATGGTGTGGGTGGCATCCTGGGTGTTAGTGGACTGGTGTGGGTCGCATCCTGGGTGTTAGTGGACTGGTGTGGGTGGCATCCTGGGTGTTAGTGGACTGGTGTGGGTGGCATCCTGGGTGTTAGTGGACTGGTGTGGGTGGCATCCTGGGTGTTAGTGGACTATTGTGGGTCACATCCTCGGTGTTAGTGGACTGGTGTGGGTCGTATCCTGGGTGTTAGTGGACTGGTGTGGGTCGCATCCTGGGTGTTAGTGGACTGGTGTGGGTGGCATCCTGGGTGTTAGTGGACTGGTGTGGGTCACATCCTCGGTGTTAGTGGACTGGTGTGGGTCGTATCCAGGGTGTTAGTGGACTGGTGTGGGTCGCATCCTGGGTGTTAGTGGACTGGTGTGGGTCGCATCCTGGGTGTTAGTGGACTGGTGTGGGTGGCATCCTGGGTGTTAGTGGACTGGTGTGGGTCACATCCTGGGTGTTAGTGGACTGGTGTGGGTCGTACCCTGGGTGTTAGTGGACGGGTGTGGGTCGCATCCTGGGTGTCAGTGGATTGGTGTGGGTCGCATCCTAGGTGTTAGTGGACTGGTGTGGGTGGCATCCTGGGTGTTAGTGGACTGGTGTGGGTCGCATCCTGGGTGTTAGTGGACTGGTGTGGGTCGTACCCTGGGTGTTAGTGGAAGGGTGTGGGTCGCATCCTGGGTGTCAGTGGATTGGTGTGGGTCGCATCCTAGGTGTTAGTGGACTGGTGTGGGTGGCATCCTGGGTGTTAGTGGACTGGTGTGGGTCGTATCCTGGGTGTTAGTGGACTGGTGTGGGTCGTATCCTGGGTGTTAGTTGACTGGTGTGGGTCACATCCTGGGTGTTAGTGGACTGGTGTGGGTCGTATCCTGGGTGTTAGTGGACTGGTGTGGGTCGTATCCTGGGTGTTAGTGGGCTGGTGTGGGTCGTATCCTGGGTGTTAGTGGACTGGTGTGGGTCGTATTCTGGGTGTTAGTGGACTGGTGTGGGTCGTATCCTGGGTGTTAGTGGACTGGTGTGGGTCGTACCCTGGGTGTTAGTGGACTGGTGTAAGTCGTATCCTGGGTGTTAGTGGACTGGTGTGGGTCGTACCCTGGGTGTTAGTGGACGGGTGTGGGTCGCATCCTGTGACAAAACTGACCTAATCTGTGATAACTGACTCAGTCACATAGTGATGGCTGACTCAGTCACATAGTGATGACTGACTCAGTCACATAGTGATGACTGACTCAGCCACATAGTGATGACTGACTCAGCAACATAGTGATGACTGACTCAGTCACATAGTGATGACTGACTCAGTCACATAGTGATGACTGACTCAGTCACATTGTGATGACTGACTCAGCCACATAGTGATGACTGACTCAGCAACATAGTGATGACTGACTCAGTCACATAGTGATGACTGACTCAGTCACATAGTGATGACTGACTCAGTCACATTGTGATGACTGACTCAGCCACATAGTGATGACTGACTCAGCAACATAGTGATGACTGACTCAGTCACATAGTGATGACTGACTCAGTCACATTGTGATGACTGACTCAGTCACATTGTGATGACTGACTCAGCCCCATAGTGATGACTGACTCAGTCACATAGTGATGACTGACTCAGTCACATAGTGATGACTGACTCAGTCACATTGTGATGACTGACTCAGCCATATTGTGATGACTGACTCCCGTCACATAGTGATGACTGACTCAGTCACATAGTGATGACTGACTCAGTCACATTGTGATGACTGACCCAGCCACATTGTGATGACTGACTCAGTCACATAGTGATGACTGACTCAGTCACATAGTGATGACTGACTCAGTCACATTGTGATGACTGACTCAGCCACATAGTGATGACTGACTCAGTCACATAGTGATGACTGACTCAGTCACATAGTGATGACTGACTCAGTCACATTGTGATGACTGACTCAGCCACATAGTGATAACTGACTAAGCCACATAGTGATGTCTGACTCAGCAACATAGTGATGACTGATTCAGTCACATAGTGATGACTAACTCAGCAACATAGTGATGACTGACTCAGTCACATAGTGATGACTGACTCAGTCACATAGTGATGACTGACTCAGCCACATAGTGATAACTGACTAAGCCACATAGTGATGACTGACTCAGTCACATAGTGATGACTGACTCAGTCACAGTGATGACTGACTCAGTCACATAGTGATGACTGACTCAGTCACATTGTGATGACTGACTCAGTCACATAGTGATGACTAACTCAGCAACATAGTGATGACTGACTCAGTCACATAGTGATGACTGACTCAGTCACATAGTAAAGACTGACTCAGTCACAAAGTGATGACTGCCTCAGTCACATAGTGATGACTGACTCAGTCACATAGTGATGACTGACTCAGTCACATAGTGATGACTGACTCAGTCACATAATGATGACTCACTCAGCCACATAGTGATGACTGACTCAGCAACATAGTGATGACTGACTCAGTCACATAGTGATGACTGACTCAGTCACATAGTGATGACTGACTCAGTCACATAGTGATGACTGACTCAGTCACATTGTGATGACTGACTCAGCCACATAGTGATAACTGACTAAGCCACATAGTGATGTCTGACTCAGCAACATAGTGATGACTGACTCAGTCACATAGTGATGACTGACTCAGTCACATAGTGATGACTGACTCAGCAACATAATGATGGCTGACTCAGCCACATAGTGATGACTGACTCAGCAACATAGTGATGACTGACTCAGTCACATAGTGATGACTGACTGAGTCACATAGTGATGACTGACTCAGCAACATAGTGATGTCTGACTCAGCAACATAGTGATGACTGACTCAGCAACATAGTGATGACTGACTCAGTCACATTGTGATGACTGACTCAGCAACATAGTGATGTCTGACTCAGCAACATAGTGATGACTGACTCAGTCACATAGTGATGACTGACTCAGTCACATAGTGATGACTGACTCAGTCACATAGTGATGACTGACTCAGTCACATAGTGATGACTGACTCAGCAACATAGTGATGACTGACTCAGCAACATAGTGATGACTGACTCAGCCACATAGTGATGACTGACTCAGCCACATAGTGATGGCTGACTCAGCCACATAGTGATGACTGACTCAGCAACATAGTGATGACTGACTCAGCCACATAGTGATGACTGACTCAGCAACATAATGATGGCTGACTCAGCAACATAATGATGGCTGACTCAGCAACATAGTGATGACTGACTCAGTCACATAGTGATGACTGACTCAGCAACATAATGATGGCTGACTCAGTCACATAGTGATGACTGACTCAGCCACATTGTGATGACTGACTCAGCCACATAGTGATGACTGACTCAGCAACATAATGATGGCTGACTCAGCCACATAATGATGGCTGACTCCAGAACATAGTGATTTACTGACTCAGTCACATAGTGATGACTGACTCAGCAACATAATGATGGCTGACTCAGTCACATAGTGATGACTGACTCAGCCACATTGTGATGACTGACTCAGTCACATAGTGATGACTGACTCAGCAACATATGGCTGACTCAGCACATAGTGATGACTGACTCAGCCACATTGTGATGACTGACTCAGCCACATAGTGATGACTGACTCAGCAACATAATGATGGCTGACTCAGCCACATAGAAATAAAAATATTAAACTTAAATAATCTAGATATTTGTTAGCAATGTAACTGTTGAAGACGGAGTTACTTACTTTGAGATGACTTCTTCTTAAGATGACGTATGTAGACTGTGGTGACTGCCAGTGTCACCATCAACACCACAATAACCACCAACAACATGCTAGGGGTGACTTGGTATGCTGCTAGTCGTGCTGCAGTTGCTATGTTGGTGATGGCAGCTGGATTATTAAAGGTAAAAATAATAAATTAATATGCTTGACCAATTAAACCCGTAAATTATCATAGCTAAATTTAGCAGCATTTATGCAAATACTCTACAAACTTTTTCATGGAATTTCACAAAATCAGAAATTCAGATGCATATAAATTACTGAATTATGAAGTTTGTTAGATAACACGACATTAATTATAATTTAAAAGAGCAGAACAATGTAAAAGACCCAACTGGGTTGGTACGCACTCAACTCTCACACTGAGGCCCGTTTTAAAAATCCCCGGTATGGGTGGAAATACTGGGGCGTGTTTCATTAAGACCTTGCGTCTCTGTTCCCCTAGCATAAGTAGGTACCGGGTGTTAGTCACCTTGCCCTGCAATCACTGTTCCCCCTAGCAGAAAAAGGGGCACCTGGGTGTTAACCCCTTGCACCTGCTATCACGTTCACCTACATAAGTATTTACCGGGGTGTAGTCCCCTTTACCCCTGCTGTCCTTTCACCTAGCAGTAATAGGACCTGGTGAAGTCGGAAAAGTTTGGTGTTAAATGTAAAGAAAAGACAGTGTTTGGGTTAATAGTAAGACAAAAAAAATTTTGGTTAATAGTGAAGAAAAGACAATGTTTGGTGTTAAAGGGAAACAAGACAATTTTTGTGTTAATATTGAAGACAACAAGTTTGGTGTTAATTTAAAGACAAAAAAAGTTTTTTTATTTGTGAAAACAAACAATGTTTGGTTTTAAATATGTAAAACAAGACAATGTTGGTTTAAAAGTAAAAAGACAAGACAATTTTGGGTTTAAAATTATGTGAAGACAAACAATTTTGATTTAAAAGTAAAACAAGACAATTTTTGGTTTAATATGAAGCAAACAATTTTGGTGTTAAAAAGTAAGACAAGCAATGTTTTGGTTTAATTGAAGACAAGACATTTTGGGTTAAAATTGGAAACAAAAAATTTTTTGGTGTTAATAGTAAAGACAAGACAGTGTTCGGGTAAATAGTGAAGATAAGACAATGTTTGGTGTTAAATTGAAGACAAGACAATGTTTGGTGTTAATATTAAGAAAAAGACAGTGTTTGGTGTTAAATGTAAAGAAAAGACAAGTTTATTTAATAGGGAAAGACAAGAAATTTTTTGGTGTTAAAAAGTGAAGACAAGACAATGTTGGTGTTAATATTAAAAGACAAGACAGTTTTTGGGGTTAAAAATTGTGAAGACAAACAATGTTTTTTAATTGTGAAGACAAACAATGTTTAATGTTAATATTGAAGACAAGACAATGTTTAGTTAATATGGAAGACAAGACAATTTGGGGGTTAAATGTGAAACAAACAATTTTTGGGTTTTTAATATGTGAAGAAAAGACAATGTTATTTTAATATGTAAGACAAACAAGTTTATGTTAAATGTGAAGACAAGAAAAAGTTTGGGTTTTAAATAGTAAAGACAAGACAATTTTTATTTAATATGTAAGACAAGACAATTTTTGGTTTAATATTGAAGCAAGACAATTTTTATTTAAATATGTGAAGAAAAAGAAAATGTTTAGTTAATATGTGAAGAAAACAATGTTTGGTGTTAATATGGAAGAAAAAGACAATTTTTTTGTTAATATGTGAAGACAAACAATGTTTTGTTAATATGTAAGACAAACAATTTTTGGTGTTTTTTGTGAAGAAAATAAAATTTTTTGGTGTTAAATGTGAAGAAAAGCAATGTTTGGTGTTAATAGGAAACAAGACAATTTTTTATGTTAAATGAAAAGACAAGACAAGTTTATTTTAAATGTGAAACAAACAATGTTTGGTTTTAATATGTAAAGCAAGAAAATTTTTTTAATGTTAATATGTAAAGACAATACTTGTTTGGGTTAAAAATTTAAAACAGACAATGTTTGATTTTAATATGTGAAACAAAAAAAATTTTTATTTTTTAATATGTGAAGACAAAAACAATGTTTAGTTAATAGTGAAGAAAAGACAAATTTGGTTTTAAATATTAAGACAAGACAATTTTTGGTGTTAATGGAAGACGAAAATGTTATTTAATATGTAAAGACAAGAAAATTTTTATTTAAATTTGAAGACAAGACAATTTTAGTTAATAGGAAGACAAACAATTTTTTAGTTAATATGGAAGAAAAGACAATTTTTTGGTTTAATATGGAAGAAAAACATGTTGGTGAAATATTGAAAAAACAATGTTTATTTTAATATGGAAGACAAGACAATTTTTGGGTGTTAATATTGAAGACAAAAAAAGTTTGGTGTTAAAAGTGAAGACAAGAATTTTTTGGTTTTTAAAATTAAGACAAACAATTTTGATGTTAAATGTGAAGACAAGAAAATTTTTATGTTAATATGGAAGACAAGACAAGTTTGGTGAAATATTGAAAACAAGACAATGTTTGGTGTTAATATGTGAAGCAAGACAATGTTGGGTTAATATGTGAAGACAAGAAATGTTTGGTGTTTAATATTGAAGCAAGAAATGTTTGGTTTTAAATATTGAAGAAAGACAGTGTTTGTGTTAATATTGAAACAAGACAATTTTTTGGTTTTAAATGTAAGACAAGCAGTTTTTTTAATAGGGGGAAAAAGACAATGTTTGGGGTGTTAATATGTAAAGACAAACAATGTTTATGTTAAATTTTGGAAACAGACAATTTTTTTGGTGTTAATATTGAAGACAAACAATGTTTGGTTTTAAAATTGTGAAACAAGACAATGTTGGTGTTAATATGTGAAGAAAAAAATGTTTGGTGTTAATATTGAAACAAGAAAAAGTTTGGTGTTAAAAGGAAACAAGACAGTTTGGTTTTTAATAGGAACCAAGAAAGTTTGGTGTTAATATGGAAACAAGAAAATTTTTGGGTTTGTTAAAAGGAAGACAAGACAATGTTTGGTGTTAATAGTAAAGACAAAAAATGTTTGTTTTAATATGTAAGACAAGAAAATTTTTTTGGTTTTAAATAGGGAAAAAAGAAAATTTTTTTGGGTTTTTTAAATTTGAAGACAAACAATTTTTGGTTTTAAATATTAAAAGAAAGACAATTTTTGGTGTTAAATGTGAAGCAAGACAAGTTTGGTGTTAATATGTGAAGACAAGATAATTTTTTTGGTGTTAAATAGTGAAACAACCTGGGTGTCTAGTGAACAAACCAAAAATATTGAAACTACAATATAAGAAAAAAAACTTATACCTGATTATTAAAGATTTTTGCGGGGAAAAATTTAAGAAGTAAAAAACTAAAATTTTTAAAAAGATCTTTGGGGGAAAATTTTTAAAGAAAAGTATAAATTTTATACCAACTTAAAAAAGATTTTTGCAGGAAAAAATTTAAAAGATAAGTATAAATCTTATACCAGACTTATTAAAAGATTTTTGTAGGGAAAAAATTTTAAATAATGAAAAATTTTTTTATACCAGACTTATTAAAGATCTTTGTCAGGGAATAATTTAAGATAAATGATAAAAAAATTTTCCCAGACTTTTTTAAAATCTTTGTCAGGGAAAATTTAAAAAATATAAATCTTATACCAGACTTTTAAAGATCTTTGCAGGAAAAAAAATTTTAAAAAAATATATAAATCTTATACCAACTTTTTTAAAGATTTTGTCGGGGAATAATTTAAATAAAGATAAAATCTTATCCAGACTTTTTAAAGACTTTGTCAGGGAATAATTTAAGATAAGAAAAAAACTTATACCAGCTTTTTAAAGATTTTTTGTCGGGGAAAATTTTTAAGATAATGTTAAAAATTCAAAACCCAACTATTAAAGATCTTTGTGGGAATAATTTAAGATAATGAATAAATCTTACCAATTTTTAAAAGACTTTGCGGGAATAATTAAAGAAAAATATAAAAACTTATACCAGACTTTTTAAAAGATCTTTGTCAGGGAAAAATTTTAAGATAAATATAAAATTTTTCCCAGATTTTTAAAAGATCTTTGGGGGAAAAATTTTAAAAAATGATAAAATTTTAAACCCAGACTTATTAAAGATTTTTTCAGGGAAAAAATTTAAAATAATGAATAAATCTTTTCCCAATTTATTAAAAAACTTTGTCGGGGAAAATTTAAGATAATGATATAAATCTTAACCAGACTTAAAAAGATCTTTGTCGGGGAAAAATTTTTTAAAATAATGATTAAAAACCTAAAAAATTTTTTTAAAAAAGATCTTTGTCAAGGAAAAAATTTTAAAAGAAATGATAAAAATTTTATACCAACTTTTAAAGTCTTTGTCAAATAATTTAAGATAATGATATAAATTTTATCCCTGACTTATTAAAGCTTTGTCAGGAAATTTTTTAAATAAAGATAAAATCTTATACCAGACTTATTAAAGATCTTTGTCGGAAAATATTTAAGATAATGATATAAATCAATCCCAACTTATTAAAGACTTTGCAGGGAATAATTTAAGATAATGAATAAATCTTATACTGACTTATTAAAGATTTTTGCAAAATTTTTTAAGATAATTTTAAAAACTTTACCAGATTATTAAAGATCTTTGTCAGGAATAATTAAGAAAAGATATAAATCTTATAACAACTTAAAAAAGATCTTTGTCAGGAAAAATTTTAAAAAATTTTAATAAATTTTAACCAGATTTATTAAAGACTTTGTCAGGGAAAAATTTAAGATAAATAAAATTTTATACCAATTATTAAAATTTTTGTCAGGGAATAATTTAAGATAATGATTAAATTAATACCAACTTTTAAAAGATTTTTGTCAGGAAAAATTTTTAAGATAAGATAAAATTTTTAACCCAGACTTATTAAAGATCTTTGTGGGGGAATAATTAAGAAAATAAAAAAAAATCTTAACCAACTTATAAAGATTTTTCAGGGAAAAATTTTAAGAAATGAATAAATCTTAAATTATTAAAATTTTTGCGGAAAAATTTAAATAATGAAAAAA